ACCGTCGGGCGCTCAAATCAACCTGCGGGATTGTGGTAAGGATCCCGGCTCTTAGGCATTGGCAAGATCCAGTTCCCTCTGCTCTCAGACTTCAGGACGGGCCGCTCGGGCGGGTTTTTTCCCAGAGCGGTGTTCCATGGGGCTCCACCGAGAAAAGAGGAAGCCTCTTGGCAGACTTCCCGAGTGCCGTAAGGCCGTAAGGGGCTGAAGCATTCCGAAGGGCACTCCTCTTTTCATGACCATACATGGGGCCCACGCTCCCACTGTGGTTATTTAGGCTCCATCTGGTCACGTTGGCCATGGAACCAATGAGGTAACTTGTACCACTGAACGTCCAGCAAGTTCTGCCACTTAGAATCAGAAGAAACCCAGCACCAAGTTGTACCACTTGCAAGTAACCTGTCACTTGTCTCTGCTAGTTGGAAATCCCAAGTTGCCTGCAATGGAGGATAGTCTCCAAACGGTGCTGTGGCAAATCGGATTTTACGTCCACATTCCGTGATGCCCTTGGACATGTCCGTTTAAAGTGATGAAGTAGTCATGAGGACTGAACGCCTACTTTAGTATCACAAGATCGACCATGTCTTGTTTGTCTTGGCGTACGTGCATTTATTGTAGTTCCATATGCCCGTGGCAAAGTTGCAGAGTTGCCAAAAGGACACTACAGGCATACCACATACGAGTCTCTCACTGCATTCAAATGTCTGAGTATTCTTGTTTGAGACTGCCCCCATGCGGCCAATGGGTACCCATGAACAAGCCCCGGGTTGATGGGTGGGTGTTCAGTTTGGGGGATGGCACCAACATGTTTTTGGTATGGTGCTCCTTCATTGGCAGCCCAGTTTCATAGATGCGAGGTTGCAACTGTCAGCTGTGATTTCCCACTGACCAAGTGGATGACCAGTATACCCTGTTATCACTGCCTTCTACTAACATAGCATCCATGGGAGGGTACTTTGACCATCATGTTCCTCTTGTTGGGCCCCCCTATCAGGTGCCATGACAACGCGGCAATGAGGGTATCACTCCCTTTTCCATGAGTTGGCCGAAATGACTGACCGCTTACACTCCCTCGTTTCTAGAAGTGGAGATGCTCGCACGTGAAGTTCCCAGCGTTAAAACAGCAACCTTACAACGAATGATTTTCGGTTGACGGATCATGAACCACCCAGAACCTACTGTGGATGGACGAAATCCTGCACCACCAAAGAAACCCTGGAATGATGATTCCCATGTAAATGACGACAAGCAATGGTTTCCCATGGTTTCAAGCTGGTGCAGGAGTTTGCCCACCCACCGTATGTGGGCATGTCTGCCAATTGGGAACCCCCAAATGGGTTGTTTCTCTGTTTGCTTCCCTTTAAACCTACCGCAAAGGGGTGCCTTAAGAAAACGAGACAGCCATATGGCCGTGGGTCAAAACCAATGGTACCATTTTGGGGTGGGTGCACCACCCATTTTAGTCTATTTTAGTGGTTGGATTGGCATGTTCACTGGGGGCACGATTTGGATTTTGACCCATGGCCATATGGGAATTCCATTCGCCAGGAAAGAGGCGTCCACGGCCTATGATGTGCTGGCAGACGATGGCTCCTCGCACCGAGGTCTCTTCTTGATCGACAAGCGCCTCGGGCAAGCTATGGATGCATTGACTTTAGACATTCAAAAGACCCCTTTTTTTTTGGGTTGTGTAGAAGTAAAACCAATAAAAGGGAATCCAAGAGGATGCCACCTGTTTCTGGGGGGGGGGGGCAGCATTTGAGACAGTTCAAGAAACAATAAACTCACTTGGGATGTGTTAGAATTTTCTCACACCTAGATGATGTGTTTGTTGTTTTTCAATGCCAATCATGGTCACTCAACATATATATATATATATAATGTATTTTCCCACATCGTCCTCTGATTTTGTTTTATTTATTTTTCTTTTCCCTTGACTGCATTTGTTATTGCCCACCTCATACCCTTTCGGTTTTCTTGTCGCTTAGCTTGATCCACCAGCTCGGAGGTCCGGCATCGTGCGGCACCAGCTGGTGAACGACGAGCCGCTGGGCAGGTCCGTGGACGAGGCGGTGCGGATGCTCGACGCGCTGCAATACTTCGAGCCTTTGGCAGCGGCGTCGGGAACCTGGCAACCCCAATTTGTAAGTGGGAGACAACAACCAGAGAGAGGTGCTTACTCCCTTAGTTCATGGACTTCAGACTTTTTGGGACCATTTTACTAGTAAGCAACGGAGAGGAGTTGTTACTGCCTGAGTTCGTGGACTTTGGGCTTTTTGGGACGATTTGAGTGGCAATTAAATTTCTTGGGACATTTTAGTGGTAAACAAACAAGTCTTCACTTTTTCTACTTTTCCCTCAAGCACAACCTTGTGTGCTGTTCATTTCTGCAGGCACCTTCCTTCGATTCGGTAGTCGAGCGTGTCTTTGTGTGTTGCGGGTACCCTTTTCAGATTGGTTGAAAGGGAACCCCAAAAGAAACCACCTCTTTTGTGTGCGTATTTCTGTTATGTTATGTTCTTAGGAACCCCCTTTTTGGCTAAATATTACAGGCAAGGCCAAAGGATTTTCGAAGCCCATGTCGGGGCCATCCCGCCCCCACCCCTTGGTCAATTTTAAAGGCGAGGCAAAGGAAGCCGAAGCATCCCTTTGACTTACTGGTGCGAAATCGGCAGGGAATGAGAAATGGAATGACCCATGTAATATAAACCCTCCGGTTCTGGTGGGTTCCTTTAAGGAAATCCCCGTTCATTGCCACATTCCCTACCGCGCGGATCGCAAGTTGACACGTGGTTTCTTAGGACACCCCATTTTTGGGCTCATTTAAAAAAACGCCAGCATATCCCGTTGCCATCGCCTAGGAGAAGAACGGCAAGGTGTGCCCTGCCAACTTCAAGGGCGAGGAGTCGCTGGGCTCCGCGTCGGTGCCTCTGACGGAGCGCTTCAAGGACGTGGCGGGCCACTTGGCCAAGCGGGCGCCGGTGCTCGTAGACCTCGGTCTCCCTTTGTTGGGGCGCTTTAAAGGGAAACAAGGAAAAGCACATGTTTTGATGGTACCCCTATGTTTACAGGGATTGATCAATCAAAAGGTACTTAAAGGGATGCCGAAAGGAAAACCGCAAGTTTTCTATGTTAGGGTCTGTTTAAAAGGGAAAAAAGACACGGTTGTGTTTGATGGTATTATTTTAGGGTTGGTTTAAAGGGAAGCAAAACCAAAAACACGTTTTTGTTTGGTATACCATATACCCCTATTTTGACACATACCCGTAGGCAGGGAGTGAGTTGGAATGCCCTCTACCATTCTTCTCTGAGAACAGGCAAGTTTCCGGGGGTTGGCGCTGAAGATCCAGTCGCCCACCCGCTTTTCCCTTGGGGATGGGCTTTCAACCAAGGGACCCCTTCCTTTTTCCCGTAGCCGTGCATTTTCGGGGGATTAAGGAAGGGAGGAAGGGCCCAATTGTTGGCTCAAAGGTTGATTGTTTCGCTTGCCAAAGGAATACTCTCTCACATGGGTGGTGAACGGTGAACGTACACAAGGATCAGCGCGTCTCCCTGTCACCCCTCGCCAAGCCAAGGCTACCTGGGCAAGAAGTACGGCAATTGAGAGTGCAGCGGGGAAAGTAGAAGTGCTTAGAAGTGCGCCAAAGACCTTACAATACAAGCCACAATCGCGGAGAAACAGAAGATTGACACGCCGGCTGCGATTCACAAGGAGGCCGCCCTTCTTTCGCATGCTTTGAGGACCTTGGACGCCAGGCCTTGTGTGTATCGGCTGTTTTGATATCAAAGAGGATCACTGATTTCATGCAGCAGGCCCAAATGGTCATATCATGTGTGCAGTCTTCCTTATACACAAATCTGGAATTCAACTGGGGGCTCATAAAGATTTGTATATGTGGGTCTGTTTTGTTTGTTTGGATTGCCATTTGTTGTCGGTTTAAAGGGACACCAAAAGGAAACTCACCATTATTGGGGGGTCCTCAGAAAAAGCGACACGCCCATTTGTTGGTCTTTTGACACATGGCTCATAAAAGATGGCTCTGAGGCCATGGCCTTGTCAACATGCGTACCCCGTATCACGAGTTACGAGTCGCATGAACAGTTGACACATGTGGTAACAAAGACAAAGACATAATTGCAACGCGTCGTTGCCAAGTGGTATGGAAGAGTAGGAAGATGTATTCCAAGAATATACATTATTGTACTTCCCGCTTCAGAAATTGTCGTTTCTGCGAATACTCAAACGGTTCTGTCATTTTCAGAGGATTAAAGAGACAGGCTGAACTTTGCATGATCCAGTTGTTCATGAGAGAGGGCCAGGTTTTGCGGACGGGTAGGACCACAAGTGTTTCTTTGTGTGAGCGTTCTGAGTGGAGGAATGCGGATGTGTTGTTGTTGGTTTCGTACGCTGTGTGACATGCAAAAGTGAGCACAAAAACGAACAATAAACAATACGGGCTTTGACCACATATCCCTGGAACAAGCAAATGACGTGTCAATGTCAGAAGCACAACTCGACATGCCAAGATCAACACACTGACGACCGCTAAGATATAGCCATGTCACACCGATATGCAGTTGGCAATTGCCTTGGCTGAAGGAATTTGCTGTCTGTCGTGCAGACGGCTGTGGCTATTGACCTTGCTATTGACCGTACCCCTTACTGGTAGTTTGTGGCCAAGTGTTTTGGAGGTGAGGAGTCCTCCCCCTTTGGGAATGCGCTTTCTGAAGCAAATGTACAGTAAATGCATCCTATGCTTGTTTTGAGTGAGTGTGTGGGACTTGTGCGTAACGTACCCCCTCGCACACAGAGTTGAAACCGTTCAGCCTTTGTTTTCACGCTGCATCCTCAGAGCCATCTTTCATGAGCATGTGTCAATAGGCCAACAAATGGGCGTGTCTCTGTTCTGAGGACCCCCCAAATGGTGGTTTTCCTTTTGGTGTCCCTTCAAACCGACAAAAAAGGGCAACCCTCAAACAGGTCTGCCTTCTGATGGCAGGCGACCGACGGAAAGACTGCTGCAATGATGTGCGTCATGGAGGCCAGGAAGCGATGCTCGGAACTCCGCCGGCTCACTGATTTGGGTTGAGCGTGCGTGGCTTCCCTGGTCAAAATGGGGGGGGGGGCCGGGGGGGTCGGGACATTTTCAGTGCAGGGTCTGCGGCAGTCGAGGTTTCTGACTCGCTAAAACATGAACTTGGGCCCAATCCAAATCTAACATTTGCCGAGTTCACTGAGGGTTTGAGTGTTTTCGATTGTTTGTTTGCACCTAAAAAGTGTAAAGACATTAAGTTAAATAGGGACAGCTAGAAAGAGAGAGCCTCAGGGGGGCAACCGCTTGGTCAAGCTCCTTGCGGCTCCTTGGTCCGCACTGTGACTCAGTCGCATGCCTTCTTCACTTCATTCTTCTCGCTGGTTTTTAGGAGGGAATGAGAGGTTGTTCCCCGTTCTGAGAGCCAGGTCTTTGCTTTTACCTCTTTCATTTGCTGAAATGCATATGTTTGTTCTTTTCCCCTGTTTGGATTTAAAGGAATCGATTTAACTACTGGACATATCTGCTCATTGGCTCGCAGCCATCCGGTTCCACAGCTTTTCAGATCTTTTCAGTGGGTTTGCTGCTTAGGTTTCCTAATTTAGCCCATTCAAAGTGTTCAACTTTTTACAGGGGATCTGAACACGGGCCCATTTTTTGGGGGGTGGACCCCCTTTGGCTTTAAAGGGAAACTAAAGGAAATCCTCGGATTCTTGCGGGGCCTTCCAAAAGCCCAGGGGCGCAGTGCCTCACTTGGGCCCGTTTCGGACTTGATCGTCACTTTTTGGGGGTTGGTGGCCATTTTGGTGGTAGATAACAAGTGTGGGGATTTGTTTTTTTGGCACATCTCTGGAGATGAGTGTTTGATTTGCTGCCCTTTGGCTTCGATGATCTTGAGTGCGGAACTGTAGTCAGGTTCGGTCTACTTGGGTAGATGGATTGGAGGTTAGGATGCGGCTTCCGATCTACCTGCTGCAAGGCCCAGGAGTTCAAATTCCCACATCACCAATCCACACCAGCAGGGGTAACTCAATATGCTCACTTCCTGAGTTATGGACTTGACACTTTTTGGGGATCCAAGACCATTTCATACTCGTTCTTGTTGCCCGTTGCTTTGTGCCCGATAAACGGGTGGCCCGTTTTATTTGCGGGTTTGCCCGTGTGTTTTTCCCCAATCCACTCCCAAAGTGAGCGAGCCATAGGAGCCGTTTCCGTTTGGTGCCGGACCCGTCGAGGCCATTTGTGTTCCGAGGAGCGGAAGCTGGACCTGATGGTCCCAGATCAGAACGGCTGGACCTGCTTCTTTTTCGCCACCGACCGCTCCAACAAGGCGCCTTTGAGCATTTTTGAGCCAAGCGGCGAGGGAAAAAAACTCCCCACTGAAGGGGGTTGTTTCGCGAAAGCCGTGTGGGTGTTGTTTGTTGTGATGGTCGTCTTCTTGGGGCCTTGAAATGGAAGACGGAAGGAACCTGAGCATTGGTTGGGTCCCTATTTTAGGACACACCCTTGTTGGTCCTTTACTTAGGGGGTCCCTCAATTCTTTCGGAATTGTAGACCTTGCAGATATATTTTTCCCCAGGCAAAACCGGGCACTCCCATGAAAATGAAGGTCCCTTTAGGATTCCCGGATTCAAGTTTGGTGAACTCTAAAGTATGTGCTCATGAATCTATGGGCACCCCACTCAGAACCAAAGAAACTTTCAAAAGGGAAAGGCGCCTCAAGTGCCGCTTAGCAGGTGCCCCGCTCTTTTCCTGCAGTGCCTTGAGGTCAGGTTCCCTGGTTCGGGAGTATGTGGTACATGTTTATGTCTTTAACTAAGGGGTTTTATATTTGCTCTATGGTTTATTACCGTTGATTGGACTCATGGCAACCGGGAGGGAACTTTCCATTGCGACCTGCTGGAAGGCATGTTTTGGCAGGCCGCCAGAAGAGGCCTGCCCCAATTTTGAACCCCCAATCCGGGCGTGGACGCCTGCTGCGTTTCCATGGTGTGATCCTTTTTGACGCTCTGGAGCCACAGTCACAAGTCTTATGTGCATGGGGACATTGGTCGAATGTATCAGGCTATCAGTTTTTCTACTTAACTTGCTGCTTCCCAGCAGGGAATGAGGGAATGACAACTATAGTAACAATAAACAATCTCCTATGAATCTATTTTGTCAGGCATATGGGTGCCGGGGGCCAAAGCCCCGTCAGCAACTGCCCACTGCGTGTTCCCTCTGAGTTGTTTTTCCAAAAGAAGTTGCTTACTTGGCAAAACTAGATGCTTCCGCAACAGTGGTTTCTCTCACACGCAACAACCCCCTTTGAGAATGACCAGAAGAGACTAGAGGGTGTGTTTTGGTTTGGTTCTTGACATGAATAGCAAAGCAACAACGGTTTCAGCAAGTTTCAGGCGGCCGTTTCAAAGGACCATGTGGCTGGTTTGGCGCCTTGTTTGACGACATAAAAAATTATCTGCAGACCAAAGATCAAAGGGCAAACGCCCTGGAAACGTGAGGTGTTTACGAAAATTGGTGAAGATCATAGAACATCAACGCATGGAACATATGTTTGACCCCCAACCAGTTTTCGGGGGCCACGTGGTAGTAGTAGGGTAAAGGCCAGGAAGTACAAGTTGAAACGATAAGCGACAGGGTAAACACCACCAGAAAGTGGGGTAAAGGACGTGAAAGGAAGAGCGTCGCCCAAGAGACCTGCCCAACCTCAGCAGAGTTCTAGAAGTGTGCTAGCTTGCACGGGACCATCATGTAGCATCCGAGAATTTGTTTGGAAACCCAGACGGCAAGCGCCTTAATCAGGGAGAGTGCCCAAAACGCTGCTTACTTTTTGATCTCTCTAAGCAAGCTTGCAAAGGAGTTTCTTGAAGCCTCGAAATTGTGTGTCGAGCCACAAAAAAGACACCAACGCCAAGAAACCTGGTCTGTGTTCATCAATCAAGCCGATATCTCAATCTCCCATTTTTTCCTTCAAATCCCGGTGGGCGACTGCTGCTGAAATGAACACCAAGAGAATGGGTCCCAGAAGCCAAACCAACGTGGACCAACTGAGTCACATTCAAAACCCGTGTAGATTTGTTGGTTAACAGAGACAATCCCAACCAGGAATAGCTTTTGGGCGCCTTCTTAAGTCTTGAAGCATGGCTCTGGGCTTGGACCATTTTAATACCGAATCGGTTTTGATTCTGACTCAAATGCGTTGACTACAGACCATGGAAGGTGAATCAACATCATGGCATATGATGGGCTTGGACCATTTGGCTATGGGTCATAACCAATGGTACCATTTTGGGGTAGGTGCACCACCCATTTTAGAACCTATTTTAGTGGTTGGATTGGGAGGTTCACTGGGGGTACGATTTGGAGTTTGACCCATTGCCATTTCAATGACTCAACCGAGCCACACTCAAAACCCGGAAGGTTAGTAAGGGACAATCCCAACCATAAGTAGCTTCGGCAGCCTTCTTAATTCTTGAAGCATGGTTCTGGGCCGACCATTTTAATGTCGGGTTTTGAGGATGACTCCATTTGTTGGTTCGTAAGGGAAACTCCCAACGAGGAATAGCTTTTTGGGCGCCTGCTTAAGTCTTGCGTTTGCATGGCTCTGGGCTCTACAGACCAAGATGAATCATCCAGAAGTGCATGGCATTGCATCTTCCATGTTCTTTGGTTCTTTTCTGCCTGCTGAAAAGGCGAAAAAATACCGGATGGGCTTTTTAGCCATTGGCTCAACCGATAGGAGCTCATGAAGTGGCTCCTGGACCTGGACGCCGACGCCTGCGCGGAGGCGGTGGACCTGCGGACCCCGCTGATGCCGCGGGCTCCCAGCTGGCGGCTTCTCCGTGGCTTCCCGAAAAAAGCGAAAAACTCCGCCAAAGACAGGGGTTCCTGTTGCAACAACCAACCTGGAACGAGGTTCCCCCAGAACTGGTTTCCGGAGAAACAGCAATCCACCAAACAGGGCGGGGAGGGGGGCTTCCTGTTTCAACAAGCAACCTGGAAGGAGATTTCCCCCAAAATGGGAACCACATCCGATTGAGTTTGAACTTGGAATATGTCCTTGAACCATTTTGGAGGATGTTCATCTCTATGTTTGAGGTCTCGCAGATCCATGGTGGTCTCTCCTGAGACATCGTTTGTCAAGCACAGGGTGAACACATGCCCCCTTCTAAGCTCCTAGATTTGATTTCGACCGATTTGTCATTCCAGGCACTCCAATTTATTGTATCACATCTTACCCTCCCACCCTTTTCACATGGAACCCGACGTTTCGGGGTCCTGGTTTGGACCATTCTCCGTTGAACGGGACTGGTTCTTGCACGTCAGGTTCCATGTGAAAAGTGTGGGAGGGTAACTAGTTTGACACCCCACCACCCCCAACAAAATTCACCTAAGGAGAAAAGCTGTGTGTGTGTGAGTGTGTTTTTTCTTGCGCGTGGCATCCGGGCCCGGCCTGGGTTTCACCAAAGCCGGGCAGTTTGTTTTTTTGGTGTGTGTGTGTGTGTTTTCATAGGCACCTGAAATAGCCGGGTTGCGGAGGTTATTTGCGCCGGGTCATCTGTTTGGAAAGGGTTCCCCTCCAAAGTTTGTGTACCAAAGGAAAGGGAAACCTAGAGGAAAGAGGTAAGAGGTCGTGGATCGGTTGTTCACCTAGAATGCCAGTTCTCCATTCCTGGAAAAGTCTGTCTTTCTTTTCTTACAAAATCCTCCCATCCAAAATGATCCTAAGGAAGGTGCGGCTTTCTTTTCTTACAAAATCCTCCCATCCAAAATGATCCTAAGGAAGGTGCGTATTTCTTTTCTTATAAATTCCCCCCTCCATTGTTTGTGTGTGTGTGTGTTTTTAGTGTGTTTTCTTTTCTTATGGAAATCCAGAGGCTTTGAAGCCCAAGGCTGGCCTCCATGAATGGCATCAAGGCCATTGGCAGCCTTCTGCTCCGCTACGACGCCTACATCGATGCGCGTGGAGACTCAAACCGGCGGAGGGCGGACGCAGGTGTTCAACCCAAACGGCTTTCAAGTTGAAAAGGTGGTTTAAACATGCTCACTATGAACCAGTTGTTGATGGAAATCAATGTTCAACATTTCAGTTCAGAAAGCCTGAGACTTCAAAATGGTTGGCAGACACAACTTCCACCAGGAATTTGCGAGGTCCAAAGAACCCCTCATCAAAACCCAGTGGTGGTTCTCTCAAGGCACGTGTTGTCGGGGGTTTCCCAAAAGGGAAACCGACGGCCCGGAGGACAAATCAACGACTCGGCCCGCTTTTGAGGGGCGGGGAAACCAAGCAATACGACGACGAACGGAATTTTCAGAACCCTGCAAACATGGGTCACGTGAAGGGCTCCAGGCGTCCTCTTCTGAACATGTTGAGGACTTCTCCAAAAGGATCCTGACACTTGGACCCATGGAGAGCGAAACCCACGGGGTGATGAGATGGATATAATTGTAGACATGTGTGGAGGGACCCGAAGCATGTGTGGTTTGCCTTTTGTTTCCCTTTGACCGAACCCAAAAAGTTGCCCTCCAAACAACACACCCTCATAGCCTTCGAGTCCATGTGCAGTTGTTGGTCTGGGTCCTCCAGTAGTGCCCTTTTATTATTGTTTGATTGTTGTTTGGTTGGGAGGGTTCCCCTACTAAAATAAACTACAGAGAACAAATCGCGTGCCCGTATTCTAACCTCTCTATTGGAGGACCTAGTGGTGGAATTCCCCTCATCGCTGAGGCAAGACAAGCAGGGCTTTACCGCACTTCTCTACGCCATCCAGGTGCGGAAAAAAGCAAGAAAACAAAACGCCGGTGAGGTCGGGGAGGAGATGGCCACGTGGCTCAAAATCCAAATCATAGCCCCAGTGAAGATCCCAATCGAACCACCAAAATACTGTGGATGGACGAAATCCTGCACCACTTAGAAACCAGGGGAATAATTGTTTGTTGGTATTTACAGGGGAATCATGGTTCCAGGGTTTCTTAGGTGCTGCGAAATGGACTTCGTCCATCCACTGCAGGATCGAAAATGGGCGGTGAATTCACCTACCAACCAAAATGGGATCCCGTTTAACGGTTTTGACCACCACAGCCAGGTATCAAAGCGGGTTGGAGCTCGTTTGGGCCCTTCGTCATTGGTTTGACGACCCAATTGCTCAGTGGCACCATTGTCCCTTGTGTTTTGGTGGGGTTCTCCATGGTCAACCCCCACCAACAGGTATGTTTTTGCTGCGGGGGTTACTGGGTAACGTTCTTGTTGGGAGCCCTTGACTTGTTGACCAAATGATGGCTCGTTTTGTGTGCCGCCTTTTCTGTCTATTCGGTTTGTCTTTTTAAGCTATTAGTCTCGTTGCGGGGCTACGTTTTAGATTGATTTTTCGGTCTACACGGATTTTGTCTAAAACCACAGTTTAGATCTGTTTCTACGATTTCGAGATTCGGCCGTTTTTAGTCTAATCTAGTCTATTGGGTAGGCTTAAGGCGGCTATGCACGGTTCAGGCTGGTGCGTGAAAGCGTTTTCGGCATGCTGAGGCTGCTTTGCACAGCACTTTTGGAAGTATGCAGGGAAAGACAGGTGAGTCTTGATAGCATAGCTGCTTGGAGATGCTTCCTTTGGCCAATGTGTCAGACATGTAGCGTCACAATCTGACCCTCGGAGGTAAGGCTCACGTTGAGGCGACTTCCGTTTGGCACAATTTTGTTTGCGGACGCGCTGGGCGGAGCAAGGACCGCTTGCTGGAAACTCTTTTGGTTTTTCCTGAGCCCTCTGTCGAGTCGAACGGAAACACAACACACACAAAAAAAAAAAACGGAGCAACTTGGATCAACTGCACAACAGACTCTGTTGTGCAGTTTAGATCCAAGTTGCTCCGTTTTTTTTGCGTTCGACTGTTCAGACTTTAGCCACCAAACTGGGTCAACAGATGGCTTCTTTCCACAGGTCAGCAGATTTTGCCGGACTTCGGTTTGCTTCAGGGAGGGAGGGGCATGTGCCAGGAGCGTCAGCTGGAGTTTGCGGATTTCCTGGTGGAGAATGATGCCGACTGCACCTGGGAGTGCAATGCGAACAAGAAGCAATGATTATAGGAGCAATGGTCAGTATTTGCTGGCATCTACGGTAAAGGGAATGACATGGGGTTCGCCGCGAGCCCCAAAATACCATCAGGACATACGGCAGTTACTCGTCCCAAACTCCTGTGCCATTGGCACAATAAACTTCTGATCGCCAAATTCGCAAGGTATCAGTTTTGCAAGGGCTAGGGTGGTCCCCTAGCGTTTTTTGCAGGTCATATTAAGCATGGGTGTGTCTCATAATTGGGACGTCCCGAAATGGTTGGCTTCACTGTGAGTATCCGTTGAATCCACCTGAAAATAGTTCCCTCAAGACAAGCACCATGAGGCTTGTGGACCTCCTCGCCAGGATTCCCCAACTTGAACATATGGGGCGGGCCGTGACGTTAGCGTGAAGCAGGTCTTGATCCAATTCCGGTTGTCAAATTGTACTTGGCTTGCTTGGGCGCTGAGATCAAGACCTTTGGTAGCTGAATTTCTGAACATGTCCTTATATCCAAGCTGCGACAATGCAATTTCCCCCCCGACCGCTTCATCGGCTAACCGTTTGAGGTTCTGAGGTGGTAAGCAGACCGAAGGAATTGCTTTTTTTTATGTGCGAGTTGTACAAGCTGGCCGGCACCTCTTTCCAGAAATAGCACCCCGACCGCCCCACCCTTCCACTGATTTGAGGGGAATTGTTTTTGCCTTTAAGTAGGCATGGTGACTGGTAGAACTGCGATTTGTTGCGACCTTGATGCTTTCTGCAGTGCTATTCCTCCTGGCAGATTTCAAGACGCACCACATGTCCTCCGGACCTTCCTCCAAACCGCTACCCCCAGCGCCTTTCACTTGGGAATATCTTATTAGTAGCTTGGATATATTGTAAAGATTGCCGATCGATTTCCGCTGCATAACCATTGGAGCAACAATACATTGGCCATTGGACCCGGGACACCTATACAGGCCAACCATCTTGGTAAAAGGCAAACAACAAATAGGGGCTTGGCTCATGTGCCCGAAGTTGTTGGAGTCATATGAGGCCGAAACATGTGATTGTCCCTAGTGTTGGACGACATAAACCCTTAGATGGTGTCAATGGTTCCCAGGCACACTCAAAACAGACGATGGCGTGGACGCAATCGCCCAATCCTCAGAGCCAAGCTCAAGACTCTGCTAACCGAAGATTGTGTCTCTGTGTGCACTCGTGTGTCTGTGTGTGTGATGTGTTTTTCTGTGTGCGTGTGTCTGTGTCTCTGTGTTTGTGTCTGTGTCTGTATTGTGTTTGTGTCTGTGTCTGTGTCTCCGTATCGTTGTGTCTTTGTCTCTCTCTTTCTCTGTGTGTGTGTGTGTTTGTGCGTGTGTGTGTGACGGTGTGTGTGGTTGTGTGTGATGCGTGTCAGTTGAAAGGGGCACCAAAACGACAATCTCTGCTTTGCAGGTTGCCCCCCGCCAAGTTTGACGCGCACGCACAGAAATATTGTGACTGTTCTTGGGAACCAACTTCAGTACCATGCGCGACATGGATGAACTGTTTCTTTTGGCCAACCAACCTTAAACTCCGTTGCTTGCACATATAAGCTGATAGCATGCATTTTCACAAGGTATTTCAGCTGCAGTTGGGAGGGAGGCTTCCTTTTGGTCATTATTCACTTAAGACATTGGTACCCCAACCAAGGCCACACCAGCTCTGTTTGCACCCAACGAATCAGAGGAACACGCAGGAGGGTAGCGCTGAAGAGTGTGAAAGACATCATTCCAAAGAACTTCGTAGAGTCCTCGCCCTTCGCAGAAGCCCCCTCCCTTCGCAGAGTCCGCTTGAGGCTCGTGAAAATTTTCCTTTACACACCCGTTTACTCCGCAGTCCATGACCCTCCTGCGTTTTCCCCCTGACGAACAAATGGTGTGCCTTCCCAGAATCTTTAAGCCGTTTCTGCAGTCATCAATTTGGTTAAGGAAGCTCAATCGGTTTGTCATCAGTAGCAGCAATTGCCCACTTCGAGGCCCAAGTCACAACGGGAATTTGGTCATTTGGTCATTATAATCATGCTATCCAGCTGAATTCGAGGACCACGTGACCCAAACGAGAATGATTGAATGTGTTTTCAAGAATCGAGTCAATTAGCTGTTTGAGGTGAGGGAATTATGATGCCGTATTATGATGCCGTATCCCACTAGCACGGGATCCTTGGTCCTATGGATTCTAGTACAGACAATGGGAATGAACCCGCAACTATTCCCAACTGAGCTTGGTCTTTCCTTCAAATGTCCCATTAGGAACAAGCAAGATCAAACATCATTGTTGTTGATTCTCTGAGAGGATAGAGCTGGTGCATTCGCTGACAGCCTGCGCCCTCCACCCCATGTTTCATATGTTTTGAGCCATACGTGGATGTGGTTGCCTGCCTGTTCTCTGGGAACCAGCAGCGTTTCGTGGTTCATGGGCAAAACATATTTTTTTTTGGTTTGGACCCAGTTTCTGACAAACACAAATCATGCTTGAGCCATGTTTCTCTTGCTTAATTTGCGGAAACTGGGCTCAGCAGCAAGCTTTGCGATCAGGAATGGACTAACCCCTCAATCGTCCGAATCCTCTTCTGGAATTTTGGATTCGCCCACCCAAGCCATTTCGCCAGGGAATCCAAGTTTTGAAGAGCTCAGTGTCATGGTGAGCCTTTTTGGATTGCTTACATGGTGTATTTCACACAGATCATGTCCCCTTCGGTTTTTGGAGGACCTCGATTCTCAAAGACCCTGCCAACCCCTCCACTGAAGGCCTTTGGCCAATCTGCTTGAAGCTTTGCTTTAGCGGGGCCCTTTTACCGGAAGCAGGTTTTCTCAGAAAGTGTTTCTGAGCAGATGCAAACGGTCAGTAACATCTGAAATGAGCCTTGATAGAACCCATTCAACGTTCACCAAAGTGTGTTCGAGGGGACTCTCGGACACCTCTGGACTCTCATTTTTTTTGTCACTGTGGATTCACGAAATCCTGCCCCACTTTGAAACCATGGTTGAAACCGCCGTTTGTTGTTACCTGCAGGGGAATCATCACAGGGATTCTGAGCGGTGGTGCTGCCCCGGTTTTTTGTTGGAAAGGTGGGAATTCGCAACCATCGAAAGTATGTGAAGGGCCCATCCTTGGCTCCTAGTGACTAGTCGCGCTTTTGATTCGGCTGCAATGAGCTTCCCACAGCATTTCTATACGGGGCGCACCCGAGGTCTCTAGAACCCAGGTCTTAGCAGTCTTAGTGGCAAATATCAATTCGAAACCTTGTGGGTTGCTTCACGTGGCAACATGGAAACGCCGAACATGCCACCTGGGGAGGGGATCAGCCGTCCCTTGCTTCCATTTGCTTCCGAGTATGTTCTATTTTCCGCTGTTGGTCTTAGAGGGAATCGATGTCACAGGACCTATTTCCCATTTTTTTTCCAGGGGGTTCCGTTTTTTTTTTTTTTTTTTTACCTGGTTCGGGGTCAGTTGCATGTGTCTGCCGGGGTTTGGTTTTGACTCACCTGGGGGATTCGCCATTTCGGCTCGGGGCCCTGGGATCGATCGATCGATCCTCGAGGCTCTGGCGGAGCGCCAGGGCCTGCATGCCCTGGCCCAGCGCATGGAGGCGCATGGAAGCCCCATGGGCGTTTTCGGTCTCGTTCTTTCGAAATTGTGTATTACTATTGACCCCATATCAATCGACCCAGGTTTACTACTAGGGGGGTGTCCATTTCTGGGTGTAGTGAGGGAATCAGACCGCTCCCCCCTATTCATAAACTGGGGTTGACTAACATTGGGTGTGCCTGGGGTTAGTGGGGGAATCAGACCACTGCGCCCTATTCATAAACTGGGATTGATTCATATGGATCAACATTACTTGAACCCCACACCCCTTTTTCCCAACCCCTTCCCACCAAAAAAAAGTCGGTGGTTTCCTTTGGGCTTCCATTTAACTCCCCCCCTCCCCCGGCCCCCCCCAAAGAAAATAAGGAAAGACACAGTGCCGAGTTTCAATGCAACACAAGGACCACCCAAGCTGCCAAATGCGGGGCTTCTTGTCTTCACACGCGGACGTTGCTTGTTGTTCGAGTGGCTCGCAGCATTTGGTTGGGCAGCATTGAGTATGGCCAGCACTAGCTAACCTCAGCCGTAAGGCTCCTTGCCTGCTCGTGACAAGGACCAGTCCAAAGCCAACCCGAAGTTCATCCAGGTTCATCATTGTGCCAACTACCTGGAGTCTCCATGACCCTCAAAAAATGGGGTCCCTATCCAAAATAATGGGGTCATGGATAAAGGGTCAAGGCTTGGCTTGGAGTTTCGTTTTGGGTGCTGAAGAGGCCCACATGCTGCAACTTCCCAGGTGCGAATGCGCAGGGAAGAGCGCGAGGCACGACCCCCGACTCCCGGAAGCGGGGTCCACGAATTCATTTCTGGCGTTGACATGGATTCGTTTTCGGTGGAATCCCCAAAATGGGTGGTTACCCTGGGGCTTCCTGAGACATCATGAAAAGGTTCTCTTGAAAAAAGACACGCCAATTTAAGCTCGCCTTGCGTATGTGTTGGAACTTTGGGATCTTGTAGGAATTGTGTTGTTTCAAGTTTTGCAGACGGCGTTTTGAAAGCTCGGGAGCAAATACTGCAGCATGCATGTGGAAGCAGTTTGGCCCCCATGACTACCACGGCTTTTGCTTCACCTCGGCTTGGATGCGGTCGCGTTGAGCCACAACGCAGCAATGAAACTGTGCACACCTTTTGGCGATGAAATACATTGTGCACAGTCTATCTCGATCTCTGTTCTTTGCAGGTCCACAGCTTCAGCGCTTCAACTCGTCTCGCTAGTCTCTTGGGGGCCTGAATGTTTCTGTCTATTGTAGCAGCGAACGGCCAGCCCTTTGGCAAGAATCAGACCTGGACCATGAAGCCCTGAACATTGACGGAGGGCGCCGGATTTCAGAGGCTTTCCTGTTCCCACAAACCGTTGTGAGAGCATGTGTTTCCGTCCTGCCCGCAAACCTTCAGCAGCCAAAACAGCGCCCCTCTCTGTTTGGAATCGGTCTCTTGTTTGATTCCATCTCTTCAAAAGCTTGCTGGTGCTCGGAGAGTGACCTTCCTGGTGTTGGGAATGACTCGGAAGGAATTGGTAATCCACAAGGGATGGTTTATAGGGGTCATTCCAACTCATTCCCTGCCTATCAAACCAGCAAGAAAGTGTACGGGGGTGGCCCCACCGCGTCCAGGATGAGCCGTCGAAGGATCGCAAGGCAGGAGCTTGCAAATGGCTTGGAGAAGGAACTGGGTTGGTCTTACAATCGGCAAACCCCTAGAACGGCTCGTCTTCTTTCAGTTCCTTTGCAAGCAAGCCCCAAAAGGGTACCCTGGAAAAAATGGAACGCCCAAATCTTTTGTGAAATGATACACCCTGATACACCCTAAAATGATACACCCAAAATCAGTTTTCTTTCATTCCCAAATCGTGATTTCAAGCTCGACCTCTTGGAATGGCTCTTCAGCTTCCGTGCCCGCGGCTTGGTTTCGAGGAACAGAGCCGCTGCAGGGTTTCGCGATGGGCGCGCTCGAAAACTCTTAGCATCTTGCCCGTTGGGCACATGGCTGTGAGTCAAAAATAGGTACCCAAAATGGGGTGCCCTGGCCCCTGGCAAGTGGAAACATGAACCAAACCTGCGGTCCCCTGGTGGTTTGATTTTGACCACACCCACATGTTCTGATTCCAAAGTTTCCAAGGCTGGGTCCGCACTGGCCATTGTTGTGAAATTGCGCGCATTCTTCAGCGTATCCCCAATGCGAGCGAAACTGACCTTAAGGTTTTTGCATGTGTTCACCAGGTTTTTGGCCCGTGTAAAGGTCAAGCTGGTGTTTTGTGTTCTTTCAAGCTGAGTCAGGTAAGTTTCAAGCGGACAACGCTGCAGAATGAGCTGCGGGTCAGTCAGGAATCAGGAGTTTCGCTTTCTTCAAATTCTTTGGTTGAGTCCCAGATAGCAAACCAACACGTCCGTGAAGGACCTAAGGAGTCAAGCAGCACCATGCACGTTTTGCTTCTTGACCTGCCTCAGAAATATCACACAAAACAACATCTGGCTTGCCTGGCTCCTGAGCAGAGTCAGAACTAAAGACGGACGCCTTTGACAGAGATGTGGAGGGTTATTTTCAAAGCCAGATTGCGAGCATGTTTTGGAGACGTGCCCATTGCTTTTCGACGATCGCCCAAGGCAGTTCCTGTCAAACCACACGCAGGCATGTGTATAAACTTTCTGAGCTGGCAGTTGAGTTCCACATTTGTACCAGGCCCCCCGAGTTGCGTCCGTTGCTTCTGCAAAGTGTGCTATTTTGGATGCATACTGTGGATGGACGAAATCCTGCACCACCTAACCAACCTTGGGAATGATGATTCTCCTGTAAATACCAGCCAACAATGGTTCCCCATTGTTTCTTAGGTGGTGCGAAATGGATTTTGTCCATCCACAGTAGTACTAACAGCATATTCACCAATCAGAAAAGCAAGGCACTACACCCGGGATCACCCGAAAACCTGTCCAATTGAAACAGGTCGGCACCTCGCTAGAGCAAGTCAATCAACATACGGTCACTTCTCCAGGACAGAAGCGATCGAACACAGATGGCTGGAGTATGGGCCAATCTTTGCCAACGAATGGTTTCCCTTAGCAAGCTGATCTTCAGGACACTCCTCGCTTTCCACTCCTTGTAGTCAAAGCTCCAAGCGCAGAACCGCAAAGCTGCATAGTGTATATGTAGAAAACCAGGAGTGGAGAATTTCCGCTTTTGCCGTAGCAACAGACATGTCAGTTGTTTCCATCAATTATTGTTTTCCTTCAAACAGCGCCTTTAGGACACGTGCCATAGAACAGGGTTCGGCAAACAATGCCTTTGTATCGCGGAAAAACGCCGTTGCATCGGGGAAAAACGCCTCCGCCAGTTTGTTGCATACATCCACAATGACAAGATTCTGGAAAATCGCCGACTCAAGTTAAATAATGCTCTTTCCTGAAAAGGCAGTTTTCCACGGAAAGGCAGAAACAACGGACTTCGGAAGACCCAGGTATGTGTATTCCATATGTGGCGAATATGCATACATACGTATACCGTATACATATTATATATATATAGACAGAGAGACAAATATACTATATGTCTATACATGTGCTTGCCCCAGACGTGTTCCGAAGGCCTAGCTCCGACAAATCGGTACTGTCATGTCCATCAGGGTCAGCCTCGCTCCCCACCCATAGTATCTGGCCAGGCCTCCAAGCGCCGAGGTGCCGGCGGGGGGTGGCGTCAGTTAGTTCGTGTCAGAAAAGCGATGAGTCTCGTTCCATTTGCGGAATTGAATATGTTAATTTTCCCGTGTTGGTTTTAAAGGGAATCAATTTCACGACTGGACATTTACAAATGCACGTTCTTGTTCCATTCATGGTTCATTGTTTTGTTTTTAGAAGAATGGAACTTTGAGATGTCTTAAGTTCATCAAACATCATATCATATTTTGAAACAATGTGCAGAGGCCTAGCCAAGATCCAGCTTTTTGACCTTCTTCGGATCAGGTTTTCGGGTGGCCAAGGTGCATCTTCCTTGCTGTCTGTCGGTTGCCTTTGGATGAGGGGTGATGAATCCCCAGAAAACGGAAAGCCGAGTGTGTCCGACAGCTGTTTGGCCAAGACAAATACAGGAAGAAGACTAAAGCAAGCAACACATGGTCAGGCTGAACCGTCAAACTAGGAGTGGCCCCTTATCATCAAGTTGAACCTAGCAATGGGAAGAGAAACATATCAGAGTGAGCGATATCACGCTCGCAGCCCTGGTTTTTGAGACATTTCCAGTGGGCAGCGTGAGTTGTTGTCGCTTTTCCTTTGTTGCTTCCTGTTTGAATTGCTTGTGGGGATTCTGCACATTTTACTATTTCCAAAACCTGAATTAAGCGATCCCCAAGCAAAGGACCTTTGTCATGGTGAGCTGCTTATAATGCAGGCTATAAATACGCAGCGGGATTGAACTGCTTGGGAAAAAAAAAGGAACGCCGGATCCTCGGTTGGCTTAGACGAAACCGGTGCGAGCTGCAAAACCCCCTGGCTTCTGAAATCCGAGAGCATGGCTCCTGCAGCATGCCCCCAAACAACACCGGCGCTGGTGCAACAAAACCAAGGGGGGGCCCAGGCTTCGCTTGTAGGATTGGCCCGTAGGGAAATAGGACTGACAGCTGCAGCTTTGGTTTTGGTTTTCTGTGGGCCGTGTCTATGCGCTGTTCGTATGTCTGTTTGGGTTTCAATCACCACAGGATTAATGTTGACCCCATATTAATCTAACGCTGTGTAATTATCAATAGGGGGGTGTCCCTGTATTTAGTTCCTTGCCATTCGGGTAGTCCTTTGTTCTCCTTTTGTTTGGCGGGTTCTTCACTTACAAAAAAGGTGTCCTTTCCACCAAGGACACTCGGAGACCAGGCATGTCGACATCCGGAAGCCCTTTTGAATGGGTGGTATGGGGATCCTTTTCCCCTTCTCTTCTCCTTTGCCGGTTCTGGGAGAGGCAAAGGAGCCAAGTCATCAAAGTCAGCGAGAGGAGGACAGGTTGCTTTGCATTTGCTGGCGTGCAGGCACCGTCCATAGGCAGAACCGACCTGTTAAACCTATGCATGGCCCTACCGAGTTGTATTGATACAATTTTGAGTATTCCACGTGAACATTTGACGGCTGACTTTGTTGCCGTGATGAATTTGGTGTTCTCAGTGGCTTGAAGTGTAGGCTCCCGACCAATAACACATGGAAGATTTTGGCAAGTGCTGAGCATGCAAGCTGCCTATGTTTGCCATTATTGCCTCAGGACAGAGCCATCGGAGCCGCGGAAGCAGTCCTGCAAGTAGTCCGCGGTCACAAGGTAGTCCGCGAGGAGGAAGTCCACGGGGAGGAGCAAGTCCAAGACGGAGTAGCTTGAAAGGGGCAACCAGCCCGCGCGATAGTGAGGGTAGCCCCAGAAGTGCTCGCGCACGCCGGGCCAGTACAAGAGGAGATGGTGACGGCAGCCCCAGAAGTGCTCGTGCGCGTAAGGACGGCAGTCCCAGAGACGGCCCAAGCACTGCAAGAGGTAGGAGGGCTAGTGCAAGAGGAGGTGATACTCAAGCTGACGGTGACGGCAGCCCCAGAAGTGCTCGTGCGCGCAAGGACGGCAGTCCCGGAGACGGCCCAAACACTGCAAGAGGTCGGAGGGCTAGTGCAAGAGGAGGTGATACACAAGCTGACGGTGACGGCAGCCCCAGAAGTGCTCGTGCGCGCAAGGACGGCAGTCCCAGAGACAGCCCAAACACTGCAAGAGGTCGGAGGGCTAGTGCAAGAGGAGGTGATACTCAAGCTGACGGTGACGGCAGCCCCAGAAGTGCTCGTGCGTGCAAGGACGGTTCTTCCCCGGCAACTGGAGCAAAAGGTGGCCGAAGTGCTCGAAAGCAGAATACGAAGGACCCAGATTCGTAGCTTTGCAGATTTGATTGGGCACTACCTTGGCGCGAAAGTTCGACCTGCAACTCGCTTCAAGGCACTCTATGTGAAGGCATCCGACCTGTAGGATGTACCAGGACGCTCAAACTACCCATGAAAATGGGTTATTGCCCCAAACTTCTGGGGTGAATTCCCTTCTTTGTGGGTAGTTTGCGGGTCCAGGCACATATTTCCTGACGTTGGCCGTGGCTTTGGGCCCTGACCGTCTGAAATTCCCCACCAGAGCGTCCCGATCGAGCCGTACCTCTCCAGCTTCGAACTCCCCGCTTCGAGCGATGAAAAAGGCGATCTGGAAAGCGTGCAGTATGTTTGGGAGAGTCTTCCAGGGGATTCTCCCAAATGTGGAGACCTCGACGGGTTCCTTTGGGATATGGGCATTGTCCCAGAATCCACTACAGAATGGATGGTTTCCCTGTCGTTTGCCTTAAAACGAGGCCATGCAGTCGGTAGCCTAAAAAAGGACGTAGGACATGCAGGTTTTTGAGTCGCAGTCGAAGCTAAGCCTTAAGGCTGCCAGGCTGACGGATCCGCGGGAGGAAATCTTGCACCAATCTTCCATATTGATGTGTCTTTTTCCCAGGGAACCCCCCCGAAAAACATGAGGGTTTTCCTGTTTTTTTCCTGGTCGGGCACCATATATGCGGCGGGCCAAGTTCAACCCAAAGGACCCTGTGCTCAATTATTGTCAATTCCGAGGCTTCACCAGCTTCCCGGCCTCCGCCTCACCGCGCAAAGGCGCTTTTGCTTTTTTTGGTTCGACGGCGAAGGCGAAGCTGCGAAGGCGAAGCCGCCAATGAGAGCTACCCCAAGAAAGACACGAGCAAGCACTTGAAATGAGGATGAACTGACGTTTTTGGATGCCCACGAGAAATGAGGTCTGTCTTAGAAGTTGGTTGAGGGTTTAAATACGGGGAATGGTCTCAACAGATTGTGCCGGGTAGCCTTTTTATCGTCCCTTGTTGGATATCTCTTATAGATGTTTTTACCCTCGAATGAACGAGAGCAACTGAGTGAGATTTCTGGCGCGATGCTCTTGGTGCCAGGTTTTTTTATGGGGCGATCCTTTCAGGGGCCAGCGTCGGGCGCGGTTGGTCGGCATTCCCCAGGGTTCTTTCTGCCGGATAGCGTTGGAACAAAAGCAGCGAACATGGGCTGTTTGGAGATTTAGAGCGGGTTATCTAATGTTGGCTCAGGTGTGTGTGTGTGTGTGAATGTATGGGTGTGAATGTGTGTGTGTGTGTGTGTGTGTGTGTGTGTGTGTGTGTGTGTGTGTGTGTGTGTGTGTGTGTGTGTGTGTGTGTGTGTGTGTGTGTGTGTGTGTGTGTGTGTGTGTGTGTGTGTGTGTGTGCCTGTCCAACTACAAATATACGCCCGCTTGCAGCTTGCAATCATGAGAATGATCCAAATGCAGTTTGTACGGTTTGTAGGTCTGCTTCATTGCGTCGAAAAGAACGCTTAGAAAAAGTCTCGCAGACCCGTGGAATTCGAACTTGGATACGGAATGTATCCTAACCTTAATGTTTCGCAAGATATTCAAGGACCGTCTGACCTGCTGGGTTCGTAAGGTATTTGTGTTAGTCATTTCCCAAGAGAGATTGTGGAACGGACATGGCAGACCGGATTGAGCTAGACATTTGAACATCGACTTGGCCACCAGGCACCTCGTCGCGCGAAGCTGAGGAACATGCCTGGGCCCTTGCATCGGTCGAGCTCCGAAGGATGGGTACCTGCCAACCATCAAGCCCATACAGAGGAGCGCCCCCTTCCAACAGAAAGGCCACGCGACGTTCAGCTTCCTTGCTGGGTGCCTTTTCTGGACAGAATCATCTGGAAATGGTTGCGCAAAATGAATTGAAGGAAAGCCTCCCCTTTGTCCTAGCCAGTGGACTAGCAACCACTTTCCTGTGGCTTTGTATGGCCGGGAGCACATGAGTCCTGTGATTTAAGTGTCCCTATCTGCGCTTGCGCCACGATGTGCCGCGTGGTTGGCGTAGCTATCTTGTGTGTTGTTGTAAGCCTTGGCTCCTTTTTGCCAAGGCTGCTGGGCAACTGGAAGCCGGAAAGCAACCGCCGTTGGGCCATTTTGATTCCCCCATCAACTAGACGCAATCCCCGGCATCCAAACTAGAACCCATAATTGGGCTTAAAAGATGCCCATGCCGAAGCAAGCTAGCCGAAACTCCCTCTCGCACTTGATACTTACTTTCGTGCAATCCATAGAGGCCTAGAGAAAATATGGGGAAGGAAATGATCTAGGCCAGAGGACTTCCTCTATCAAGAGCATGCGTCTTTTCGGCTTTCGCAAAAAAATACACAGGTGTTGTCATCCGTCCGTGATGCCACGTGTTTTTGGAAACTTTGCAGGCAATTGCAGACACAGTGCCGAATTCCGGACGACAGCACCTGGAAAAACATCCGGACGTCCCAAAAATGCCATCTTGATTGATACAGCTTAGACCAAAAAGATAGTGATACTTCGGGGTCTTTAAGACTTGCGGCCTACAAGAGACGCCTTTGCTCAGGCTGCAATTACCTCCTGCCCCCACTGCCTTTTTAGGTTCCGACATGTGTGACTTGGGGTAAGCCCAAGCTTTGGCAGAGATAGCAACCAGGTACAGGCGCAGCCGCATGACCTTCAGCGCACCCATGCGACCACAGTGCTTTTGCCGACAGTATTGATATGGTTTGTTTGCAAGCACACTTGCGTGTGCAGCAGAGTTTTTGCCAAGTAGGTTCAAGTAGGGTTCGGCCTTGGCTTAGCGGGTTGTCCTCCCTTTTGGGCTGTTTTGTTCGTTCTGTTTGTTCTTGGTCTGGGTAACCCGCTAAACCAAGGCCATCACATGTATCTCACCAAATGCCGTGAGAGACACTGTTTCACCCAGGACGAACGTGGATTGGGGTCGGGGTCACTCTTCGGGGGGGTTTCGATCTTGCTTGCGAATGTGTGGAGTAGGTGGTTCTGCTACGTGGTCGGAGTGGTTTGCATTCAAAGCAGAATATCAGGACAACCAGTTCACCGCGACTCTAGCTTCACACTGGCACAAGGCTAGGCTTCTGGATTGAAACTAAATTGGTGGTGGGATCAGGCTGTATGCATTTTTTTCCTGGAGCCATGTCTTGGCTTGTTGAAAACTCTGCAACCACTAATTCAACAATCATATCTACATCCCCCAAGAGCGCTGGGTCTCGCGCGCCGAAGCTTGGCCTTGCGCTTTGAACATCTAGATCCCAGGCCGGGCCTGTGATGCGCAATGGCACAGTGAAGCTTCCAGCCTGGCGCCCGGAGAGACAGGAACTTGGGGTCTTCATCTGTGTCCATGGGGCCGCGGGGCCATGGGGGCTACTCAAAGATTCATGTCGGTATGTGTCAAATGCGGGCCTGGGGGGTCCAGGCAGCTATCCGGCTATCCAAGACAGAGCCGGGAATGTGTCAAATAAATGGGGAGGGGGAACCTATTGAGCGTTGGTTTTCTTGTCGGTGTTCCTTCAAAAGAACCCCAAAAGGGTCGGATGTTTCCGGATTGTGCTGCTATTGACAAGAGTGCAAGGACTGGTGAAGGTCGCGCAACGGGTTGATGACATGCACATTCAACCTTTGCTTTGCAAACACTGTTGCACATCTCGTTATGCATGTTAAATTCTGGAAATTCAACACGCTCTTCAAATTTGCAGCGTTTTTTTAGGAGGACCGCATTTTGGGAGTTCCATGTGAGCAATGATCAACATCTACTGTTAACAGTAGTCATAATGCTTCGGGTACACTCACTAACACACGATACATGTTGATCATGGCTCCTGCCGATCCCGGGAAAATCATGGTGTCAGGCACCAGCGAACAACCAGACCGACAGGCCGAGCGAAGGAGTTGGTGTTGCTGCATGAGTGGGGTCTACTTTGCATCGTCTCGTCTGGAAATCAATTTATTGCCAGGAGGCTAGGTTTTCCGTCGGAGAACCGGTTCTCGGATGTGTCGGGGGGGGAAGTTCCCTTGGTATGTGCGTTGTGTAGGCTGCAGCCTCCCACCTGTCCGTTGGAACTCGATTCTTGTCGGATCTTCAAATGGGCCCAATACAAAAGACATTCCGTCAGGTTCCATCCTGTAGCGACGCAGGCCTTAGCCGAATACGGAGTCCACATAAGCACAAGGTAGCAGCAAGCGCGCATACAAAACCTACAATGCTTGAAGGACAGTCTGGGCAATCGCCTTGCCGCAATCGCTGCCGCCATGTGCCGGGAACATTCGCTGGCGTCCTTAGTTCTATGTCATGGCTTGCCATACCTGGGTTACCTGAATACGTGTGGTTTCTGCTTCGCTCGTGGTTTACAACAACCTCCCAACTTATGAAACTTGAGATGGTGGCATCGGCTAGGAGTTCATGTTACATGTTTCAAGAATGGGCTTCTCATGTCGCAATGAGCTGGCCTGATCGCAAGCGCTGATTGTTTGGACCCCCTCATTGTATACCCGGCCATTTTGGTGGAGAGTGGGGGAGCGGGATAATTTCGCAATCGCTGAGGGGATTGCTTAAGGTTGCTGCCGGGGAGGGGGGGGCCCGGGGTGATACATTGAAATACTTACCCTCCCACCAATTAACATGGAACCTGACATCCCGTTAAATGGACAATGATCTTCCAGGAGGCGCCTGTAAGGTTCCATGTGAATCGGGAGGGTATGGGATACCCGTATTCAACAAGGACTAATTCAATTTGCACCCACCCACACACCATCACCACCACCGCCGCCACCGCCACCATCACCAACACATCACCAACACCATCATCCCTGGGGATAATTGAGAGAAAGATGGCATGAAAATCGACCCTTTACTTGTTGGTTTGGATTCAAAGCAATAGGCCTCGCGGCTCTGATGTATGGGGTGGTAAGTACGAGATGAAGCCATGCTGTTGGAAATTTCTGAGACATCACATGGACGCAACACCAGCTGCATCCATATTAGTCGTACTTACCAGACCAA